TAACCCGGTATTGAGGATGTTACACGAATCATAACTGAAACTAAGATATGATGCACTTCAGTGCAATCATAACCTGAATAAGCACTGATATACGAATGGTGATATTGAACATTGATACACGAATGTACCAAAGCTGAATTGATAATTGAACATTGATACACGAATGTACCAAAGCTGAATTGATAAGCACTCACTTAATGACATGTCAAATGTACCTACGAATCTCAATGCAACATACAATGGGCTTATACTTATCATCATAGAATCATTTATTATTATGTATCTGATAACTGTGAAATATCTGATCTTATAATTATCTGATAATTGAAAATCATATGATCACTGAAAAATTATCTGATAACTATAAACATTTAGAATTCATCATCTTAAATATCATATTTGGGCAGTTCATACCCAAAATCATTTGTAAAGCTTGATAAAACAAAATATATTTCATATTGAAAATTTATAAAATCATACTGGAAAATTAAAATGAGGTTAACTTATCGCAAGTCATCCTCAACTATAATGATAATCAAATAAACAAATTGGATTCACTTTAACACTTTATTACTATTATTTTAAATCAAAATATAAGCATCACTAAGCTTTATATTTAAATCTTTTACCTTTCACTACTTTCATATACAATTTATCACATTTTATATTCTGTCAGTTTGCACTACCATCAACAAATATTATTATGTATTAATTAATATACTGAAAATTATTCTATTTGCACTAATGAAAACTAGACTCGAATACAAGTCTAACCATATAAGATACTCTGTCTAACTCCGCTTGTACAATTTATAGCGATTTTTCAAAGTTGACTAGTAGAAGTTGTTTCGGCAGAACCTGCTGCCCTTTTTCTGACCTCTTCGCCGATTAAAATTTGGTATCTTTTTGTGTACACCTCGAAATCAGTCACTATATGTTTTAAACGAAACTATACTGATACAAATCTAATAGTATAAATATCATTCTCTAATCAATTCTTTTTAATTTATGGTGAATTTCTAAACTCATGGTTTGAATTCAAATTTCTACACAACTTTCCTTAATTAGCATCCTTAGCTTAATTTCCTAATTTTGTAAGCTTAATAAATGAACATTTAGGCTAGAATCACAATTCACATAACATTAGGAGTCATTTCTTACCGTAATAACTCCGTCACTGGCTCATCGCAAGCCAATATTTGTACGATAATACAAACACGAATTAATGCACTCAACTTTGCCTCGCTATCCAACCTTCTCCACTATAATATTCTCGATCCCATACTCTTTTCTTCCCTTCAAGCTACTTGAATCACTAGATTTACCTTGATCTGACGACATTATATAATAACATAAAATATTTAAACTATATGTTAGCATTGAACTAACATAATCTAAACGTAAATATAAAATTCGATAGAAATAAATTTGATATTTAGATCGATATCAAACTAAATCATTATTCCTTAGCAACTTTCAAACTTCTCAAAATACTTATTCAATCATATGAATATTTATTTTCACTATCAACCCTTCAACTTTTGCCAACTACACAATCAAACCACTAATTATGAATTCTTTCTAGAATTCACCTTAACCTTTCTTTTAACTTCATAAATCCTTCACCATTATGATTATTTCACATTAATAACATAAAATTTTCAGCATCTCAATAAAATATTCAAATCAATACTTCAACATTCAAAAGCTTGAAAATTCACCCTAAACTTTCTTAAACTTTATCAATTCAACTTTTAATCTCTGTAAACTTGTAATTTGGTTCCAACCAACTTTGCAACTTAAATTTCCAGCATTCAAATAATAAAAATTAACATTAAACACCCCAAATATCGCATTCTTGCAATAATGTCCCACGATTCTCAAAACTTATATATTAGCCGTTTTTGTTTATTCAAGCTTCCAAATTAATCCAAATCAATCTCACTTCCAACATCCTGTCATACTACAATAAATTCCAGAAAAGGACCCTAATGTTTTGACATTTTTACACAAATCCTCAATAATTCCAAAAATTATGAATGGGTCCTTAAGTTTCAACCAAACTTCAATTTAATCCAAACATGATTTCATATACACAAAATAATTCAACTTTTACAAAATAATCCCTAAACTTAGTTCAAGTTCAATTTCATAATTCACAACATTTACAACCAATTCAACTCCTTTCCATATCAAATATAAATCAAACACAACATGTTCCTAAACATAACCCTATGGTCAAACCTTATATATAGTCTTACACTTGATTTTTAACAACTTTCATGCTTGATTTCAACTTCACAACACCTCTAACATCAATAATCAACCTTTAATCATAAAAAATACACTTCCCCTTCATCCACAACCCACCAACTTAAACATAAAACATGGATATTTTTATGCCAAATGAAAGAGAATTTTATGTAGGTTATTTTATCCTTAATAACCTAACTTAAAATTCTAGTAAAAATGGACCAAAAATCAAAACAAAGCTTCTCACCTTGTTAATGGAGTCTCACAGCAGCAAAGAGGATGAAGGCTCTCTGTTTCTTGAATTTTCTATAATTATCACTTCTTTAAACGTTTAACAACCATTAAAAAAGAATTAAATTTCATTTTTATTAAATAACCATTTTACCCTTAATAAATCATTATAACTACAACTTTGTCACTCTATGACATCATCCCTTACCTCATCATATCTGCACAAAAAATATCATAATTCTGATTTTTCATGTTTGTCCTTGCAATTTTTTAAAATTGCAATTTAGTCACCTAATTCCAAATTTTTAGCTTAACACGGAAAATCAACCTTAATTTCATTGATCCATGTTAAATTTCACTTTTCCAAAATATAGAAATAATATTTCCAACCTCTATTTAACATCTTCCAAATTTTAATGAAATTCTGATTAGATCCAATTATCCGATTTATTACCAAACTTTACTGCTCAATAATTCTTACACAAATTTCGGATCAAAATACAAATTTCACATAAGATTCACTCTTAAGTTTGAACTATCTATTTATGGATTAAAAATTCCTTTGGGGAAAATTACCATCTTGGTCCTTAAATTTTTCCCAACTTTATACTTTGGTCACTAAGTTTTCAAAACTTTCATTTTAGTCACTAACCAAAAATTGGGTTATTACAGTTTTAGAAAAAACTCTATCACAGTTTATGCAGATCCAACCTTGGGGCCATTCCCATTGAATGAGCCAGGGAAAGGTTTGGGTTCGTGGTGGTTTCGGTGTTAAAGTCAAGGAATGCCTTGCCCAAAATAGAGCAATGTGGATAGTGGAGTCCATTAAGCTGCAGTCTTAGTTAAAAACGACTCTCCTTTTCTAAAGTTGCCATAGGATAGAGGGGAAAAGATGATGCCAATAGCAGTTCTAATCATTCATAGCAGTGGTTTTTCAAGTTGCTATTAAGCCACTCTTTAAGGTTCTGATTGAAAAATTTTTGACGCCAATCTGAGTGTATGATGCGTAACCAGAGTTGTTTGACCTCCCAACAATCACGCAAAACATGAATAATCAATTCAGTTTCTCCATACTTTGGGCATGTTGGATCCGAGGTGAAGTTCCTCCTTGATCGTTCAATATTTGTCATGATTCGCTGATGGAGGGTAAGCCAGATGAAGATTCGTATACGTTGAGGGAGAGAAAGTTTCTATATAAAAGCCTAAAGGAAGCTGTTGTTGGACCATGAAGATTATGTTATGGCTTTGTAGACAGAAGTAACTGAAAAATTGTTCCTCGACCCCCATTTCCATATACAAACATCATCTCCAGCTGAGGCTTGTGGTGGCAGGAGTCCAACAATGTGATTAAGTACATTATTACCAATAAGGGAACTTATTATAGGTATATTCCACTCACAATCGGAGCCTACTAGATCGATAAGATTGCAGCGTGGAAGAATACAAACTGAATCACATTTGTAATCACGGAGGGGGCCCAAGTGGGGAATTCAAATGTCATCCCAGACTTGTACAAGCGATCTATTCCCGATTGACCAAGCCATATTTAAATAGAAAAGGTGCCACAAATTAAAGAGGGGGGGCCAGAGATGAGAGCATTGGGGCCAATCAATTGTATAGGGAAATAAATTAGTTACCTTGAATTTTTGGCGTAAAATTTGAATCTAGAAAACATTCAGGGTAGTAACCATAGCAAAAAAAATCTTCATTAACAATGCTTGATTTTGCTCATGAATTCGTCGGACGCCAAAACCACCACAGATGAGGGGTTGGCAAATCGCGGACCAATTTATTAGAGAAATAAGAGATTGACACGACGAAGGGCCCCAAATAAAGTGTTGTATGAGCTTTTCAGTTTCCTTACAGACGCCAACCGGGAGCATAATTGTTTGCATGAAGTATATTAGAGTAGAGGTGAGAACTGATTTAGCCAAGGTAATACGACCGACTATTGAAAGAGTGCGAGCAACCTATTCATGTAAGAGGCCACACATTTTCTCCAGAATAAAGTCATAGTTCGTTTGACAGATTCGACCATGCTATACTAGAACACCAAGATATTTACCAAGAATATAAACTTGTTGGAAGCTTAAGTGCTCGTAAATAGCTTCTTTCATTATGACATTCGTATTGGGCGAGAAGAAAATTATGGTTTTCCTCATGATAACACGATGCCCAGAGTATTGGCCAAAGCAAGACAACGTAAAGTTGATCACATCAGTATTATCCTCTCTTACATAAATGATCAAGTCATCTGTAAAGAAAATGTACGAGAGAGAAGTCCCGTTCTGACTAAAGAAAAAGGCTTCTTAAATTCCATTAGAAACATTTTCAAAAAATGTAATGGCCCAAATGCTGTATAGCGAGGACGAACATGGGGAGATATGGTCCCCTTGAGAATGCCTCACTCCGGATTGAAAGAATATGTGAGAGAGACATTTTATTAGACCTGAAAGATAACATGGTAATATAGTATATAATGATACAAGACAAATTTGGAGGGAAACCTACTTCAGTAAGAGTGTCCTTGATGAAATCCCAGCGTAACCGATCAAATGTCTTTTTAAGATCAACATTGATGGCCATTCATCCCTTAATGCTCTTGAACTTACGCATTGAATGAATTATTTCTTGATTCAAAATTATTTTTCCCATGATCTATCGACCAGCTATAAAGCTTGTCTGAGTAGGAGATATAAGAGCCGATAGAATTGGTTTTAGAAGGTGCACAATGACCTTTGTAAAAAGCTTGTAAATTACAGTACAGAGACTGATTGACTGAAAGTCACGAAACGATTTCAGGGTATCCACCTTGGAGATAAGAACGATTATTATACGGTTTAGATTTAGGTTAAGATTGCCACCATTAAAAATAACTTGTATATAGGTGCAAACGAAAACACCAACGATGGACCATTGCTTTTGAAAAAACTCGACATGAAGGCCATCATGGCCCGGTGCTTTCAATGGGGCCATTTCATTTAAGGTAACCTTGATTTCATCCGGGATAGGGATGCCATCAAGGGATGCCTGAGCAACTGTCGATATAGGAGGAAAACAACCCATGGATGGGTATGAATCGTCGGTCCTATCCTGATAAGAGAAAAGGGATTTAAAATGCTTTATTGCCACATTTTGAATGGACAGTTGATCATCCGACCATTCACCATCAAGTTTTAAAGAGAGTGTCATGTTTATTTGTTTACGAGCTTTTGTTTTACGGTGAAAATAAGAAGTGTTGCGGTCACCAAATTTAATGCAATATTCTCTAGACCTCGGTCGCCAAAGGAGCTTTCTTTGGTTGAGAAATAATTCAAGTTCATTTAGTAACTCCGATTCAAGATCTCGAAGATAAGAAGAGTTGCAGACATATAAAGAACGTTGAATTCCCCGAAGCTTAGCCATGACATTTATTTTTTTGGAGCCAATGTAGCTAAAAATCAATTTATTCTAAGTCTCGATTGCCTTAGAAAAATTAGATATTGAAGCCGATAAAGTACCCTTTCCGCGCCAATTTTCCTTTACCATCCAGTTGAAATCATCATGTATCTGCCACCCAGTATAATAACGCAATTACATGGAACCAGAACTCTTTGGAATGTAGCCAACTTGGAGCATTATAGGACGGTGACCCGATTGGACATGGACAAGGTGATAGATGGTGGGTTCCAGATAGAGGTCATCCCAATAATTATTGTAAAAGACTCTATCTAAGCGGGCATGAGTGGCACCTCCGGTCCACGTGAAGGTTGGACCATGAAAGTGCATGTCTCTAAGTTCACAATCTAAGAGGAAAGATTGAAAGTGGGTGGTGTAGGCTCTTCCCATTCTATATGAGGAGGATAAGGTTGCATTAAAATCACTAAGAGAATCCACGGATGATGAATTTACTGGGTGAGATAACACATATGTAACCAAAGAGCTTTCCTTTTTGTTGTATTAGGACTAACATAAATGAAAGTCGTGAGGGTACTTTGCTTGTCTTGTTTGTGAGTAATGCAGCAGCATATAAACTGAAAATGACTACAAAGAATATCAACTGAAATAGAGTCATACCAGCAAAGCCAAATGCCCCCAGGAAAGCCAGCATCTTCAACCCGATAAGAATTAGGGAATCCCAATGTTGCAATGATGGAGTCAGCTTTCGAACCATTGATGCAAGGTTCCATGAAACCAATGACATCAGGTTTATGATCCCAGATATTTTGCTTAACCATTTTCAGAAAACGAGGATGTCCACAACCTTGGATATTTCAACAAAAAATTCATAGATTCATAAGAAAAGAAAGAGAGGGTGGCGAGTCAGAGTAGTACCATCAACACCCGATGTGCCATCATCCAGAGGGGCAATAATTCTCATACTTTGTATGTTGCTTCCACTAATTTCCATGCAATCAACATTAATCCTCGGTGCTAAAGGGCCACGATCAGGCAATTCACCTGGGATCATGCATCTTGTGGGGGTAGGGCACGAACTATGAGCAGTAGGAGCGGGTATGTTGGGGTCATAATTTTCATATATGATGATTAAGAATTTTTTGCCTTATTCAGAACGAGTTCTGTCTCAAAGAGGAGGGGTTGACATCTTGTTTAAAGAAAGTAGTGGCGCGACATTGTAAAACACTTAATGTTTTCTGCCCCAAGCTTAAGAGAAGAGTGGACATAGTTTTTTTTAAGTTGACGCTACTCTTAGACTTGCTAGGCTTAGGAAGTTCTGTGGCTTTTCCTTTGTTATTCGACAATTCAGGCAGGTGGACTGGTAGGGTGGTTGGCATAGTCGGATCCGCAGGAGCCTGAGTTTGCTATTCCAAATTAGCAATCGGATTGAAACGTGAGCCATTATTGTCACCGGTCATGCCTCCAACATTTTGATAAGAAGGTTTCTTGGTAGGGTTGCGTTTCTCCTTCTCTACGAGTTTCCATGGCTCATACTGTGGAGCGGTTTCAGTTCAGGGTGGGTTCGGTGTTTTAGCCGGATTAGCGTTATCGCATGCGGGGGAAACATTGTTTAAAAGGTAAGAGGCTGAAGCATGACCATAGGTACCACAATTAAAGTATACAACGGGCAAAGATTCGTATTCCACCAGTTGAATACGACTATTAACCACCAGTTTAGAGATCAATGATTTATTCAAGTATACTCTTATTGCCATACGGGCGAAGCGACCCCTTCGACCACTGTTCGTTTGGTAGTCTATTTTGATGATGGGGCCGATACACTCTCCGATCTCTATAATCAAGCTGCGCTTGTAAAGAGTCACAGTCAAACCGGGTAGGCGGATATAGGCTATGACTTTACTCGGGTAGGGCTGAGGTTGAAAAATCCGCAGTCTAAGGTTTAACCGTCATATAATGTCCGTAAATCAGCCAAGGATCTTCTACCATGACCTTGAGATAGTCATTGTAAGAGCGAAACATGACTAAGAAGTAGTCATTTTCGATGTCTATAATACGGAGAGCTTGAGATGGTTTCCACAAATTATAAATTCAATTATGGAGAACGTTATAACTGATGCGACGACTGAGCAGTTTCAGTACCACAGTTTGGCCAATGCTCTTAATGGTTAGATCATAAACCATGTCTGAGAAGATGATGAAGATCAGTCCATTGATCACCTCGCGTGTGACATCCCCATCTAATATCTCAATGTCCTCATCAACCATGTCTTTGTATTCTTCATTAATAGGATTACCCTAGTTGGCCATAAGTCTATCACAGTAAGAAGTGCGAGCCATCTATGGGTTTTCCAAATTCAATCCAAGGTCATCGCCGGCTGCTGAACCGTCTAGTGGTTTGTCGAGGTGTCGACGGGGCTTCTTGTCGGCCCTATCATCGGAATCAATATTAGGGTTTTCTGCAGAGGGAGTCGACATGGGTAGCATTAGGGTTTTTTATGTCACAAACTCTAACATAAAAGTTTTAATATTTTGACTCTTCATGATTATATCCAAATAAAACATAAATTAAATTTGTATATAAATAAATTTAATGACGATATATTATATATTTTTTATTTTGTCATTAAAAATGAATAATTATATATTATGTGCACAAAATAACTTATCTTAGTAGTTAAAGAAATTATTGTTGTTCATAGATATCATATGTTCAAGCACTAATAATTAAAATAGAATGATTGAACGTTTATTATTAAATGATAAAGAATACTATTTAATAAAAATAAAACTTAATTTTAGTTTTTGAAAAAAATGCACATAATATAGTTTTGCAAATGAAAAAACAAAAGAAACATCGGGAATATCGACGAGGGTTTGATAAGATTTTAAGGCTCCAAATCAATTAGACTGGGAAGCACTTTCTCCGCGCTCACGTGTATGCATATCTATTTATATAGATATATTTGTGTCAGCATTTTTAAACATATGAATAACATTGAGTACGTAGACCAAATTAGACAATAATGTAGATACGATAATTAATTAGTAAAATAAGTTATCTTAAAATTTATTTTGAGATTTAAAATATTTGTTACTGTACATGTGAAATTTGTCACATGAAGTTAATAAATTCTATAAAATATATTTTAAAAATAAAACTCATAATATAAAATCGATTAAAATTGTATAAAATTCGTCACTTTTACGAGACGAGTTCTAAACTCATCACCTCTACTTAACAAATTTCATGTGCACCATAATAAATGATCTAAATGACAAAATAATTTTCAATCGCCCCCCATTTTCAAAATTTATTTCCCTAACTTTGCCGAGCACTTACCTTTGGATCTATATATTTTAAATATATTTAATATCACTTATCACAATCTAATTAGATGATTATATTTATCAAAATAAATTAAAATTAAGATCAAATTAATAAAATATATAAACAATAAGGACTAAATGTATAATTATATTAATTTTTTAACTATGATGTCAACTACTTCATTAAATGTTAAAAATTAATGGTTTGATTGACAAAATAAAAAATCAATAATTAAAGTGAAAAATAGTAAAAATTAAAAAATCATAGGTATAATTTACCCTTAAAATTTCACTAGCCTAAAATATAGTATAATGACTTCTAGTAGACTTTACCCTTTTTTTAATAGACAAATGAAATATAAAATTATTATCATTTGTACATATAGTCCAAGTGAATACAATGACCAACCCTAATTTTGTCATTAAAAAAATTACATCTGGGAAATTTAAAATAATTTTTCTGGTCACAGATCCTTGTGTGTGTTTTTATTTGATTGGCTTCTGCTTTTCTCATTCGGGAGGAAACTCAAAAAGTTCTGACGCCAATGGAGAAAAATAAAATTATAATTTAAAAAGAAATTGAGAAGAGAAAAAAAAAATATCACTCGGCACTGCAGTCATTTAAAGGAAACGACCGGAGGTGAGCAGATTCAAAGCTTTTTCCCCCAAATATCGATTGCAACTCGCATTTTCTTCTTCTTCTTCTTCAAAATTTCTCTTTGTTTGTTTTTCATTGATGGGCTGCTAGATTTTTACTAACCTCGCATAAATAATCCATCTCTACCCAAACCCAAATCTTTACGATCTCTCTTTTTCCCCCCCCTTTACATATAGTTTCCCAGTTGTCTTTTCATTTGGGGATGGCATCGTCATCACTAGCAAACCCGCTATGCACTTGGTTGGTGGCGGCTTGTGTTTCCGTAACGTTCGGGAAAGACCAGTCACGGTCACCATTGTTATCAGGCTCGGCTTCTTCTAATAGTAGACTCGGCCGCTGGGCTCGTAACAGAAGGAAGGCTCTACTTTCTAAATGCTGCGGCGGCTCAGCCACTAACAAAGACGCGGGCTTGATTTCTTCGTTTCGTGGATCGAACATTCAAGGCTTGATGGCTTCCTGCTTGTCTTTCGAGCCTTGTAATGAGTACTATTCCTCCAAAAATGGCAGCTTTTTCGGTCAAAATGGAACCTTTTCTTCTCTCTTTGGATGCAGAAATGTTCCCTTCAATAATAATCGCAAGCAAAGAAGATTCAATCGAGGAGCTGCTCGTTCTGGTAAGCTTCAGCTTCTTGGTTTTCTGGAATAAGAAACACAACATTGTTTATTGATGCCTTTTCGAATCTGGGTTCTTTTTTTACTGTTCTTCGTTTCTTTAATATCTTTTTCTGTGTTGAATTTTACCCTTTTTAGCGAACTGTGGTTTCTCCCACTTTTATTTAATTTATTGGTTCAAAGCAAGTATGTGAATGAAAACAGAGAGATATAAATTGTCTTTCATAATCTGGGATTAATCACAACTTACTGAGATTCTCCAACAACCTTTTGTTTTCAAACAAAACTACGAGCTTGAACTGTGGTTGATTTTAAGTTGCTATTAAGCCTATGATCCTCGAAAATCATCATTTTATCAGATATCATTGATTTCTCTCTCTCTTCCATGCCTTTATTCTTTATATCTAAGAGGTTGGTGCAGGTTGTTAGAATTTATTGTCTTGGCTTCCTGAGAAACCTATAATAATGTTTTCAATTTTCATGGGTTTGCTGCGTCATTCTAATATAAAATAGGAAAACGTTTGTTTTGCATACTGTTTTTTTTGGGGTTTCTATGTATATGAGATCGTTTATGTGTGTATGTTTTCGAATCATTGGTGGTGATAGAGAAAATAAAATTTCTTCAATCACAGAACCTCATTCAACTTACCGGTTAAATTACGTTTGTTGTGCTGGTTAACTTGTTTAAAAACTTAGGAGAAGCCATGGCTATAGCTGTGCAACCCACAAGAGAAATTGCAACAAAGAAGAAGCCTCCTGTTAAGCAAAGACGAGTTGTCGTGACCGGGATGGGAGTGGTAACTCCTCTCGGACATGAGCCTGATGTCTTCTATAACAATCTGCTTGAGGGTGTCAGTGGTATAAGTGAAATCGAGACCTTTGATTGTGCTGAGTTTCCGACTGTAAGCTGTGTTTGTTATCTCTCTCATCTTGCACTTGTTTATACTAGCGCTTGTTCTTAGTGTTCCTGTTTCGTCTGCAGAGAATTGCTGGAGAGATCAAATCGTTCTCAACCGATGGATGGGTCGCACCAAAGCTTTCCAAGAGGATGGACAAGTTCATGCTTTATTCGCTTACTGCGGGAAAGAAAGCCTTGCAAGATGGTGGGGTAACTGAAGATGTAATGGATGAGTTAGATAAAGCGAAATGTGGAGTTTTGATTGGTTCGGCAATGGGTGGCATGAAGGTAAGTTGTTCTGCTTGTAGTTTTGAAAGAATAAAGAAAAGTGCCATGGTACATAACACGAAGCGTGGGGGCTTCGTGACCTTAAATCACGGTTAAGAAAGAGATTGTTTTGTAGTATAGTTTTCTTTGTGTATCTATTGGTTCGTTTAAATTGTTTGTTGTGGACTGAGCAGGTTTTCAATGACGCAATTGAAGCTTTGAGAATCTCTTACAGGAAGATGAACCCTTTTTGTGTACCGTTTGCTACCACAAATATGGGTTCTGCAATGCTTGCAATGGATTTGGTTAGCTTAACTTTGGATTCCGCAATGCTAAGATAGATCTAGATGGATATTGAAATTTGGACTTTTTAGCTTTAAATTTATACTTCTATGGTGTCTTCAGGGATGGATGGGTCCTAATTATTCTATCTCCACGGCATGTGCTACAAGCAACTATTGCATATTTAATGCAGCAAATCACATCATCAGAGGCGAAGCTGTAAGTTGAGAAAAGAAGAACATCTGGTATAATCGATTACACTTTACCTGATGCTTTTGAAAATTGCAGGATATGATGCTTTGTGGAGGATCGGATGCAGCAATTATACCTATTGGTATCTTGATATCGCTTTCTTATTTGACATTGTTTTGTAATTTTTCCACTCGTTATAACTGGTAATACTATGTTTTTGTCGCTTAGGTTTGGGAGGATTTGTGGCATGTAGAGCACTCTCTCAGAGGAACAGCGATCCTACCAAAGCTTCACGTCCTTGGGATGCTGTAATGTTTTGATAACTCTTGAGCTTCATGGCTATAATTTTTCCTTTTGCTGTTGCTTTTTTCTCCAAGTTCTAGAACAAAAGCAGTGAAACTGATAAACCGATAATGCGTTAATGAATTAAACTTGGTGGGAACTGAGGTTAATTAATCTAACAATTTGAACGAGGAAGCAATATGCTCATCTTTTAGTAGTGAGATTTACCCCAATTTTTGGCATGTCTTCACAACTCTTTAGGGACACAACTCAGGTATGAGTAAGAGTAAGGTATGCATGTGCACGTGGTATTGTTGACAAAGTTACTCGATATATTTATCGAGCATTTTCTCTTAAAAGGCACGTAAATTTCCTTGGTTTCTTTGATACGTGTGTTAGTTACCTTGATAGCGGTACTAAATTTTCCAGAGTCGTGATGGATTCGTCATGGGGGAAGGTGCTGGGGTTCTGCTTTTAGAAGAATTGGAGCATGCCAAGGTACACGGTCTTTGACCTTACGAATCCATGTTGTAAGCCATAGGTTTGTGCTTAGTTTGCTTTGTATAAGGGAAAGTTGCTGAGTTCAGGTTTCTTGAGTTTGCAGAGGAGAGGTGCGACTATCTATGCAGAATTCCTCGGTGGAAGCTTCACTTGTGATGCTTACCACATGACTGAGCCTCACCCTGATGGTAATGAGCCACGCCCGTATTACGGCAGTTCTTTCTTCTTGAATCCCGGTTTTATTTTCTAAACATGGACCTTGAAACTTAATTCGTCGTCTTAATTTGACTGCTCATAGATTAAACTAACGTCAGTTGTGTGAAATTTAAAAATAGGTGTCGGGGTCATTCTCTGCATCGAAAAGGCTTTGGCACATGCTGGAGTATCTAGAGGAGATGTAAACTATATCAACGCTCATGCTACATCAACACCAGCTGGAGACATTAAAGAGTACCAAGCACTTCTTCATTGTTTTGGTGACAACCCCGAGGTAATTTCACGTAGTTTTTTCTAATGCCTGGATTTTAATGCGTAGTCGGTTTCTCAAACTTCTGCGTTGTGAATATTAATAAGAACTCCGTCATTTGCAGTTAAAAGTGAACTCTACAAAGTCGATGATTGGTCACCTATTGGGAGCTTCTGGTGCTGTGGAAGCCGTTGCAACAGTACAGGTTCGTAGTTTTGAGTTTTGGAATGTCGGGTTGGATTTAAAGAACATTTCATACACGAATTTAGGAAACATCAACATGGTATTGATTCGTCTACTTATTGTAGGCAATACGAACTGGTTGGGTTCATCCGAACATCAACCTGGAAAACCCGGATGAAGGAGTGGTATGTTGCTTCTTCACTCTTTTTCCTTTTCTTTCACTTGTGCTTTGCAGCAGGTTTTACTTCTTGATACGTACTTATCATTTTCCCCTCGGTTTTCCGGTGACACGGTTCAATTTTTTCGACACATCTAATTCAGGACACAAGTGTACTCGTGGGACCAAAGAAAGAAAGATTGAATGTTAAGGCAGCATTGTCAAATTCTTTCGGGTTCGGCGGGCATAACTCATCCATCATTTTTGCCCCGTACAAGTAAAATAGTTCAGCCATTTCCCTTTGTGTTTTTTCGTGTAGACAAAGCACAACTTTGAAGGACGTTAGTGTTACGATGTAAGGAGGCCGGTATTGGGGCTGTAGGAGAAAAAAGCAGACTGTTATGGCTGAATGTAAGGAGGAGGGACATTTCGTATGGTTTGAGTGTTGTTTCAGAAGGTTTCATTTGTAGCTACAATGGAGGGTTTTAGTGTTTCAGGGCCATTGAAAAACACTAAACCAGTAAATGTATCTAAGATATCGTAGTTTGTGGTTCGTGTAACATGAAAAATAGTTGCTTTTGGTTCAGCCAATTTGCACTGAATCCTTAATGGTCCAATTTGTAAGTTTTAAAACTATGAAATGGTCGAATTTTAGTTTGATTGGAACATATTAGGGGAGGATCTAGGCTAGACGGCGACCCCTCTAATTTGGTAAAATTACATGTAGAAAATTATAAGTTAGTATAATGACAGAATTGTAATTTAATACTTTCAAAATCGGTTCGCAAATTTATTAATAATTTCCAGTACTATAATTAATATTTAGAAATAGATGTGTATTTGTACACGAAGGATTCTCATGGTTAAATTTTAACGTTAATTTATTTGGAATTTTTTAGTTGCTTTTTCAATTTTAAGGCTTTATCCTAACTAATTTAAATCCATCCACGTTGTATATCTAATTTTAATAGATAAGTATCTTAACATGATAATTTTTTACGTATACAAGAATTTAAACTCAAGACTTACTTGAATAATATCAAGTTGCTTACCAGTTGAATTAATCTCATTGATGAATTTACTTGGAATTTTAGTCGTCATATTAGTCACATATAGAAATATGTTTTATGAATACACAAACAAATAAATATTAATAATATGATGGAAATGTTATTTTGATTTTTATTAGTTTGGAGTGAATATAAATTTGTATCTATTCGAAAAATTCTTAATATTTGATATATGACAATGAATGTTCAAACATCTTTATTAATGTTATGTTTAAACTCAAGATCTCAAAAGATAACAATTATTCTTTAACTAATGAAATCCTTTAATTTATGTAAATTTTAATATTTTAAGTAAATAAATTAAACTAAAGTGTTATCCCATGATAGACTTATGATTTTGGATACAAGCGGTTAAAATAAAAGATGCCACATGTCAATAAAAATATTTTTATTATGACTATTATTTTTGAAATTTGTCAATCAAATCACCAACTATTTAAATAAATTTAATCAAGTTACATGTTGTTAACATTTAACAGAGTCCGTTAATAAAACTAGCATAATTTTACATTTGGTCTCCACCCCTTACATATTATATTAATTTAGTTATAATTTTTAGTTTAATTCAAAAATTAACCTTCAATCAAAAGATACCATATGTCAATAAAAATATTTTAACATGTTTCACCACTTGATTGATTTTTTTAAATTTATTTTAATATTTTAATTAAATAATATATTCACCAATCAGATGGTGACACATGTCAAAATCCGATGATGAATATTCTAACATATTTCACCACTTTTGCAAAGTCACGCCTTTGCTGCTCTCTCACCGCCAATTTCAAAATAAAACCATGCCCATATAGATAGCTATTATGAATTTGAATTCATGCTACAAAATCGTGAACCAATTCATCTCTCAAAATCCGTGTTCACGTATCATATTATTACGTTTTAATTTGTTAAGATAAGGAGTAAAAATGTTTTTTTCCCGTATTTTATTATAAAGACTATGATTTTTATAATAATATTGTAGATGCTCATTTTGTCCGGGATGTCGATCGAGTTTTATTTTGGGTTATATATATATGGTCATACTATTATTATATGGGTTAATATATTAGTATATATATATATATATATATATATATATATATATATATTATTGAGGATATATACAATTATGGTTATACATATAAATAAAGATATAATAAATAATTTAATCTAATATATATATATATATAATATCAATTTAAAATGCACTAAAAAATTTTATTTTTCTGTTACAGGACCAGAAGTTACAAGGCTACATGACCCAACGGTGGAGGCCCAGCTGAAATAAGCCCGTGTATTAGAACCCAATGAAACTAGGGTTTTGAAAGAGAGTCCCAACAGTCGCCAAATCTCGACTATCAGATTAATTACAGGTCCAACGACCCAGATTTGATTCGATATAGGGTTTCATACCCTAAAAAGAATCCACCAACACCGCCAAGAGATCTGAATCGTTAGATATGTTCCCAATCCAATTGTCCAGATTGCTCAGAAGATTAGGGTTTGGAAGAAGCCCCAAAGCATTTCACGCAGCTGATTTTCGGCAGTTAGGTCTGGCCTCAGTTATCCAACGGCCTAGCTTCACCCGAAGACATCAGACCATTCAGATTCGCGCATGCATCACACTAGCGCCTTTCCAAATGCTTCACGCGCTCGAGCTTGGTCCCTGTGTCACGCGTCCGTCCATATCAAGGCGAAATTGTAAGAAATCCGGGGCATTAAATGCCCCGACCGACCGGCTTTACCAGAACCAAATCCGTCGATTCACATACAAAGGGGAACAACACACAAAAAGTTAGAAACAAAAAACAGTGGCCAAAAGAGGAAAAGTGAGGAAAAAATATATTTTTATCATCTATGTAACTGGGTATATAACCCTAGAAAAATATGTAAAAATCATTGGCTTTCAAATAGAAAAAAAGACTGATTCAAAGCAAAATACAACCATTCTCAAAGGTATCTTTACTCGTGATATTGCATGAAATCTCTATCTTCTCTTATGAAATAGTAAAGTAAAAAAATAAGGAAAGGTTCAGTTTTTACCTTAAGTGGTGGCCTTCCCTCGACGAGATAGAGATCATTGTCGGTAAAGGTGTCATCTATAGGGGTTTAGGTTGTCGAAAATCTAAAGGTTGGGACTTTCGACCGTTTAAGGGTCTTCTTCTATTTTATTAGGGGTGTACGAGCTAAGGCTTAAAAAATGTTATTTTTTTTGTTTAGAGGTTTTGTTTGGTGAATTTTAACTTAGGTTCTAGTTTAAGGGTGGTAGACCGGAAGGAAAGGAGACAAAAAGGTCCAGTTTTAGGTCGGGTTTAGGTTGTTGGACCACAATAGACGGTGGCTGATTTCTAGGCTTTTGGGTTTCTCAATCGTGAAAAGGGGTATGGGTTGAGTGTGTTTAGAAAAGAAGAAAAATAAGAAAAGGACTAGGGTTTCGAATGTTACCTGAAATGGTAAACATGTGGTATTTATATTTGAACTTTAGAGGAAAATCTTTCAGTAGTCCCCCAACTGTTGCCAGTTATTCACATAATAGTCACCTATAGTGACCATTTTAGGATTTTTTTATTTGTCCCAATTTCTTTATTTTCAAAATCCGTGTCCCAGTTTTAAATTTTTGGGTTATTTATGTATAAGTCCTTGAATGTTTAGCGTATACTTACATTTTATCACCACTGAGTGATTGTTTGCTTTGTTATTCAAGTTTGATAACCTGATTTAGTGATTTAACCACTTGCATGTTAATAGACTTCGAAAAAATGGAATATTGTGTTTTGATCCTCCTAATTTTAGTGTGTATTTACATTTAGGCCACTGTTAATTTCTCAAGTTGTATGCTATATTTCAGTAAATATTTAATTTAGTCTCCATTTGTTTTTTTTGTATTTTTAATTTAGTCTTTTAAGTTTGTTGTTAGATTAGATTTAGTCCTTAGATTAATTATTTTATTGATTAAATTTTTAGTTAACAAGTCTGTTAAAGTTTTACCATGGATTGTTAGTTCTAATTAGAATTGTATTTTGATTTTAGCATGCTTAGTGTTAAATATATTAGACCCTATCGTAAATATCTTTAAGGGAATATTATTTTGTGAAGGGAACCTATGAATACATGTCTTAACTGACTAGGAGTGTGTTTTCAAGGATTGCTTATACTATATAATATTCCTTTTGGCATACAAACATTTTTAGCGTACTAAATGTGTTTTTTCATAAAAAATAAGGTAACAACCTTTTGTATGGAAATCCATAAAAACACGCCTTAACTGATAAGGAGTGTGTTTTTTAGGGTTGTTCGTACAAAATAATACCCTTTTCAAAACTTTATATGATCATAATTTTAATGTATATTCAAATTTGCAAATTTCAACATTCAGATGACATATAATCGCTTAGGTATTGATTTAGGGCATTGTGGGGGGGGGGTTGCTAATCCTTCCCCACATGTAATCGACTCTCGAACCCTTTTCAAAATGAATTTCTAGTTAAACGCAGATAATCTTTTATCATTTAAAATTATTTTTCTTAAAATTATTTAAAATGTATTTTTAGGTATTCAACCTACCTAACCCAAAGGTTGATGGAGACTCCAAATTTATTTCTTTATACATTTATTTTAAAACTTAATATTTTCAAAATTAAGTTAGATCGATCTCCTCAATGAGCCTTAAAAAGCTTAAGGACCATTCCGACAACTTGGCAACTCCGCTGGGGACATTAAAGAGTCAGGCCGTAATCGATTATACATCATCTTTTTAGTTAAAAATGTAAAATTTGAATGATATTTAAATTTTGATCCTCATGTTTTGTTTGTATTGCATCGTGCATCTTTTATTTATTGGTTGTACTAACGTTAATTTATATGTTTCAGATTTCTGACCTTTGTTTTAGTTTTTGGTTTTTTGGATCGAGGCAAAGAATTGTGAGTTTCCCCCTCACACACTATATAACTGTTTTATGTTTAGAGCCTTCTAACTGTGCTTTGTCCCGTTAGGTAGGGGTGAATGCTATTCTTACGTGAGAAAGATTATTTTTCTCCGCATGGGCTTTAGTAAGTAACCTCTAGGATACATATGCCTCATGTTTACGAGTGAAACATTGAGTTTCCTCGCATGGAACCTCGCATGGAAATGGGGAAATGCATCCTCACAAATTGATGTCTGTCTGCTTAAGCCTATAATGGGAGAAGATCGAGGGTCTGGGAGGCCCAAGGGGGCACTAGCAAAGGACAATTAGAGGACCCTATTAGTAATACTGGAACCCTGCCATCTCTTACTAGATTGTTATCCGCAGCTCTTTAAAGTTCACAAAGGGGGAAATCACTCTAACATTTTCCTCGAATTTGTTTCATTATTTTGAAAAAAGCATGAGAACTAGGAAAATATGTTGTTAGGTTTTATATTTCCGTACGAAGCCGGTGAACTAGATAATATGTAGTTAGGGTTTATTTGCCAAATAGAAGCATGATGGTAGATGTCATGTTGAGTAGAATATATGTGGGTAAGGTTTATGATATACTTGCTTG